GATAGGGGAACTGCCAATGTAAATGGAAATTGGCACCAGTGATCAAAGACCAGTCCAACAATTATAAAACAGTTGTTGATACAATTCTGAATACTAGATGAAATGAGCTTGTGCATGAGTTAATCATATTGCAGCTCAACATGCGAAACTGCCATATATAAAGGTTGTGACCTTTGGTAGCAATGTGGTGCAGGTTTTTACGGTGAAGTTATGATTATGTGAAGCATGTTGCACCCCACGTTTGCTGAGTACTGCTAAGCACCTGAGTATTTGAGTAGACAAGTAAACCTTTGTGTGTTATGGCAACTATATGATTTCTCAAACCACAGTATTTCCTGTTAAAGGTCGATTAAAGCTTTACCTAATTCCTCTAATTCATAGGAGACCCATTGGGACAATAGAATGTGAGGCAGGGTAAACATTGTAGTAAAATATGTGGTCATAAATTTGCTCAAAGAGCAGAAAATGTCATTTTAATGCTTTTTTATGTTGATTGCTTGTAAAGAGAGCTCAATTCCACCAATCCCTCACTATAGTCTTTGATGGCCCTTCTTCAGGTTTTAGGAGAGTTAAAATATTTGGGTAACTCTTGGAGAATTTGTCATTTTGACCAAAGAACTACAAACTTCAGATCAAGTGTTATATGAAAATAAATGGCTATGATCAGTCTTATTTGTATAACATTTGCAGATTTATTGAAACTAGTTGCATGTGGTCAGAATTTGTTGCTAAGATAAGACCAAACTTCTGTAGTCATGCTGAAGAAATTCAGACTGTGGTGGCCCCCTTGCTGAGTTTGGGTGGTGAACCTTTGCCTGTGTGCCTGTCACCCACTGTTCTCAGACCACTGTAGATGTCTGTTCATTGTCTAATCTTTGATGTAAGCAATGGACAGTCTAACTGGAGTAGATAATACTGTTTATAGTGACCACTTGGGGTCAGCTGCAATGAATTGACCACATGCTATGTTTGTTTCTTATGTCATAACAAATATTGACCAGTACCACTGGTGGTCCAGTGAAGAAGACCAATAACCTCGTTGTAGATAAGTTGACCAAGCAAACAGACCAATGGCTAGACTTCTAATTCTTTATGACTTACAGAGAGTTTTTTAGGTCTTTCAGCAAAAAAAGTTTTTCCCTTGGAAAGAAGAAAAACCAATCAGTCGTCATATAGCTTAATTTTTCCCTGTGCTTTGAGATATTAAGTATGATGGAATTCATTGGTTAGACTGAAGATTGAAATACCCAGGTCCCCCATACCCAGAGTTCCCTGGTGATGTGGAGTTTTTTGAATTAATTATAGATTCCACCAGAGTAATCATTGCTTGTCACGTAATAATGCCAACAAAGTTATTAATTATTGGTACACTGTGCACATTAAACTGCATGATGTTCCTTCTGTTGCAATATCCAAATCGTGTGCTTGAATGCTTTAATAAAAGAAAGTGGAAATTCTTGTTTGTTATTTCCTTATTCCTGGAATTTTTCTGTAGTTTACAACAATGTAACAATAACTTTATTGCTCTTCTATTAAGTTTTAAAAGGCTGAGTTTGCAATAACATTAAATTACAGACTGACTTTTGCAGCATTAGGGCAAAAATTTTTGCTGTTCACACACAAAATTAAGAACTTAGTCCAGGATCAGCTAGGATTTTATGTAAGGGATTTATGGGGATTTTTACTTTTGAGAGCCTTTTAAACTAGAGATAAAGGGGAAAAGTAAAAGGACTTGGCCAGCTATAATATTAAAATTTTTTTAGCAAATCGAATTGAAGATTTCTAAATCATGATAGCAATGAATCATGAAAGAGGCACTTGAGACATTTAAAAATCACAAAGTTTCCTGACTTCGGTATTAAATTTGACGAGACATGATTTAATTTGGCAAGGTTGAGAGTATACACATACACAAATAATATCGTTCACTTTGATGCTTAGTGCAACAAAATCATTAGAGGAAACTCCTCCCATCTTACTTCCTGAAATTATTAATTTAGATTACCCAAAAAAAAATAATAAACAGGATTATTAATACATCAGACACAATGTTAATACTGTACTCGATGTTGCAAAATTTTTTAAGTGCATGCATTTTGCACAAAAATTTCAAGGAAAGTAGAAGTATTGTAGACATTGTGAACAGATGATGATGTAGTCAAGACATTTTGACCTTTGGTTTCTTAATTCATTCACAAATGGAATTTGACTGTTTGGCCCTCATCATTTCATCCTTTGTCTCTAATTTCCTCTGCATCTGTCTCAATGCCTGAAGCTTCTTCAGCCTTTGTTAGGAGTTAATGAAATAACTTAATCATTTTAAATTTACTATTGGCCTGACACAAGAGTCCCCATCTAATCCTTTGTTTGTCTGTTTGTAGATTAAGATATAATGATTGTGACAAAAACAAATTTGTTCAGGTCCTCATTTCCTCAGACCTTTGTGTGTACACAGATTTATTTTTCTATATGAAGTACTTTATCAGTTCTTTTACTGTTCCTTGGTGTATACAGTTACACACCTACATCGGGAATTTAGCACCCAATAAATTGCTGACTTGCCCAATTTTACAGGACCCTTAGAATATGAACCGATGGTTTATAGGGGCTCATCCACCAAGCAGTTAACCGATCTTTTGGCTAGAGAGATGAGGTGTCACTTCACACACTAGTTTTGCCCTGTAGGAGAATTTCTAACAAGACAGAAATTAATGCACATTTGGTGCAGCATTAGACAGGCTACAGATTAGAGCTTCAGAGACAATAATGACTTTATTAACCATGCAGTTGTAAATGGCTCCCAAAAATTTTTGTTTTAATGTAACTGCAATGTCATTAATTTTTTTTTAACAGAATCTTGACAATGCCCATGATGAAATTATATCTTTTTGGTTGTAAAACAAGAAGCAAAAGAATGTAACAGTATGACTCATTTTTGGGGAGTCGAAGTCAAGTCTTAAGACAGTTGGAGATTGTTAGAACTTTGTTTTCTAAGTAACTTTATCATTTAAGTGAGCTGATCCTATTAACTAAAGTCTTAGAACATGTAACACATTGTAATCTTAACTTTTATCTTCAAAAGCTCAGCCCCAGTGGTTTTTATAGATTTCTTAAACACCTGAAGTTGTCTGGATGATCTAAGCTTACATCAGAACCCTCTTACACCTTCTTATCCTACCTGTCCCCACCTGGGGTAAACAGGTAGACCAGGGCTAGGGGTCCCAGACTCCAAGAGGTGTCTGTATTCTCACTTTGTAACAGGGCATTATGGTGTAGATTTATGTCATATTGATGATATAGTTAGGTAGAAGATCTGACTGTGTCCAGTTGATCATCCTGATTTTGTGGACCCAGAATGGCAGTAATGGCAGCCTAACTCTAGGGACATCTGGAAATAATTGATTTTAAATGGCTGCCACTTAAATATATTGTTTCCTGAGGGGAAAATCTTATAGAAGATTTTGACCTTTGAGCTTCTGAAGTTAATTCTCCTAACTTCTGTTACCTTAACAGGAGGTCAGACATATTTATTTTACTACTGTGTATGTGATTTCATGAACAGTAGCTGAACTTTTTTTTTTGGGGGGGGGGGGGGGGTCAGTGTATGGGGATGCTGAATCAAGAAAAAATGTGATAAGAATACTGAATAACCCTTTGCCTCAGATTTTCATGAAATTGCAATCAAAGGGAAAAAAAACTAAGGTGCGTCATTCAATGATTATCAATGTTTACAAATCATGTAATTTATCGTTTTATGATATTTACAAACCTTCTAAATTATCACGAACAATTTTAATTGCAATTTACAAATTATTCATTAGCACTAATTGCAAACTAAAGATTTAGATAGCTGATAGTTTCTAAGAACTATAACTAGGAACGTTGACATGAATATTGAGGACATGGTTTGTATTCTTCAGATAAGATAAGCATTATGTAATGGAGAGCAATAATATTTTGATCTGTGTAGGTCAGATCAGACTAGTCAAGTTACAGGGTCAAATGTATAACTACATGTTAATTGAGGTGTCTGGCAAGTGCTTTGTGGATCTCCCCCCAAAATCTTGGCATAATGGACTGCATGCAAATACAGATAGATTGACTCGCTGTGATTCTTGGCCAAAGATGCTAATTAGAGCAGGCTGTCCACAGAATAGTGGACATCTGCCCAGACTCTACTGCTGGCCCTGGCCTTGCATTAATTAAGGTCTTACTATTATATCATAAGCTAATAATGTCTGAGAAAGATACATGATTGATTAATAAGTCTGGGTGTCTATATACCCAGACGAGAGGACTATGGATATTCATTGCAATTTAAGTCATATTTAAAAACCTTTATGCATTCATTGGCAGACATTCAGTAAAACGGTTTTTCTTGTGTATAAATTGAATGTCAGTGCAAAGTTGTGTATTTAATAATTAATCCCACTACAAAAACTGAAACCATTTATTTTCAATTGAAATATTTTATTTATGTTTCTGATATTATTTGAAATCGCAAAATGGTCAATATATTTGTTAGAAAAAATAGAACTGCGTAGAAAGCTCAGGTATACATAGTGTGTTCCAGGAGAAATGCCATATCAAAGTATGTACATGTGTTGTTTTGAATTCCAGTTTCTCTGATGGTAGATGTTGGCTGGATTTTGACAAGGTTGTACAAATGTTGACATTACTCTAGAATTGCAACAATTTAGCACAGGTTTATCTTTAACTTCCATTATCATCAAAATTAAAACAATTTCATGTCAATGTTAAAACCTTTGTCATTTAACACTTTGCAATCAGGGATTATCATTTAATCTTTTATGACAACTGAGTAAATTATTATTAGTATATGTGACACAGTTTAAATCATGTACATTACTAAAATTGAACATACATATTGTCAATCCTCCCTGATTGTTTTATTTATCCTGACCAAGAGCTGCATGGACACAATATTGTTGTACAGTGTTCAGACAGCGGTCTTGCATCAAATGCTGAAGGTTGAGTGACAGTTGATAAGCAGCACATGTTTAGGCCTATAAATTCACAGGCTGGGGATATCTGCAGGCTAGGAGATTTTTAGTTAGCTGTAAACATGGTGTTAGGACAGTGTTAGCTGCCCCCTGTTTTTATTTGACAACAATGCAGTGCTGACCTTATTGTGTGTGTAACTGGACATTCTTTTGAATGGCAAGACAATAAGTGGACAAACCCTAGATAAAGGAGCAGTCAGTGTTTGGCAGTTTGTGCACTGGGTCAGTTTGAATTGAGAAGCATTCTACAATAGTGAATTCTCATTGGCTGAGCAGGAACCCCATGCTTTCCTTATCTTTAGGCACTGAGTTAGTGAGAGGTTGTCTCACATTATGAATGGACAACAATCAGATTACTGAAGGACTGAGTGGAGTAATAACTGTACATACAGAACAGAGGATTTGTGTTTTTATATATCACTTTCAGTTTGTTAAAAGAAGTGATTAATTTTGTAAGTGGCTAGCCAGTTCTAATCTATAGAAGGATTTGTTTACAGTTAGAAGGACATTTCAGGGCACTGATGTGTTGTAGTGAATTGGGCATTCTCTTATCTGACTCATCCATAGTCACACCTATATAAAGTTTATATGTACCGGTACAATCATTGATATACTATTTAAATCGCATACGGATTTGCCCAGAGTTTCGTTTTATGAGCTGAGTGCATGACGGAAACAACACTTTTGTCAGTGTTTTCATTTCACACAAGGAACTAAAACACATGGAGAGAAGTTTTCATTTGTGCTGGAATTTGTAAGTTCATTGATTGTCCGTTTAATTGATATTTGTACTTATTCAGCAGAGGAATTTCTTTAGGTATAGTTCATTGACTTAGACAGTTTTACACAGCTTGATTTGCCTTTGAAGTTTTGTTGAGAACTTTAAAATTCCTCCGTGGACAGAGTTAAAGAGGTAATACAGCGTCAATCAAACATTGAGTGAGGAGTTGTAAGGTGGTTACAGCTGAAAGGAAAAGAGAGAGGGCCCTACACGTGTCTCCAGCTACTGTCAAATCGGAGGATCACTGACGCGCGTCCGTTATTTCACAGGAAGGAAATCTTATCATAAAACACGTAGTATTCCACTTGAAAGCATGGACTAGGAAACTTTGTGGGATGAAGAAAATTTTCCAGTATCTTTGTATATATGTTATCAAGAAAAAAATTGAAATTTTCCTGGAAGAATATACATATAAAGGAATTATAATATTGTGAAGGGTTAAACTGAATTATTGAAAGCATGGGTGCCAACAATTCCCAGTTGGAATCTGATTTGGATCCACGTTATAACATTGAGAAGAACTCTAAGCATTGTGATACAAACTTTCAGAGGCTTCAATACCATGGTGTTAGATACCCTAAAGGTAAGATTGAAATCTTTGACTATCATGATTTATGTACTTAATTATCAATAACTGCTAATATTAACAGATCATTAATTGAGCCTGTAGGTATAACAGGCATATGTTATTTTTTTTTAAGAGGACAGTATTATAACATTAGCCACTTTGATGTTTTTTTTCTCTGTGGGGCCACATGTTTTAAATCATATTTTCCATTGATTTGACAATGTTAGATGATGTAAACATTTGTGTTCTCCTATATAAAGATATAAATCAGAATATGTCTAAAAGACATTCTAAAATCCAATTTTTTTCCCTTTAATTAGTAAAAAAAAAAAAAAAAAAAAAAAAAATTCTTTACCATTTTTGCAAGTTTTATTCTACTTAACACTTGCTTAATATATTGTTTCCTTTTTAATAAAAGTAATTTTAGAGCAATCTTTGTAATCTTTAGGCTCTAAAAAGGTGAAAGTGTAATTGTTTATTTAAAGATTTATTTTAAAAAAATGTCATATTAAGTATACTATTTGACAGTTTAATTTTTAAAATATGTAGTGCATATGTTATCTACTGTAAAAATTATCCTAATGACAGTTATAAACTTAAGTGTTTCTATTTAAGAATTTTCATGTCATTTTTCATGTCATTTTAAGATAAATTAAGAAATTTAAATAGAAATTTGGGAAAATTTAAATTATAATTATAAATAAATATTTATTTATTATTTTTGGTATGGAATATAATTCTTTCAGAGCAAGTTAATAAGCTATATATTTTAAGAAAATTTTATTAACTAGTTCATCATTAATTAGAAAGGGATTTCTTTGTTACAAATGTATATTAATTAAACTTATTTCTCTCATAATTAAAAATACAATAACTTTATTCAGAGAAAGGGATTTTTTAGTTACAATTGTATATTAATTAAACTTATTTCTCTCATAAGAAATGCATAACTTTATTCAGAGAAATTAAAGAATAGATGAATGTAATTTGCAGCTTGAGTTATTTCCCTTTATCCTTGTAGGTAAGCCAGATCCACCAGAGGGATATCCGACAGCAACCAACATCACACAGACCTCTGTAACTCTGAAATGGACCCCTCCATATGGCTGTCCCCCCAGTACGATACTGGCCTACCAGGTGGAGGTGTGCCGATTGCAGGACAAACGGTGGAAAGTTGTCACCAGTTCCTGTCAGGGGAACACGTACGATGTGAAAAATCTTGCACCTGGTGTGGATTACATGTTCCGTGTCCGTACTGAAAATGTGTATGGAAAAAGTAAACCTAGTGCTTCCTCTCAAGTGATACGGACCTTAGCTGAAAATCCATGGATTAAGCCTAAGGCAGAAAAGGCAGAAGATGAGAGGAGATCAACTCTAACAAGGAGGCATAGTCATTATATTAAGGTAGAAAACAGTGTGTCCAATCTTCTGCAGAAAGCAGAAAGAGAAGAGATGAGTGATGTGGGAACTATTCCATTCAAAAGAAACAGTAGTATCCGGCATTCGTTACCTGTCCAGTGTGTGAGACGCTCTACAACACTGCCACCCAGCATACTGCCGGGATCCAGACGTGAAAGTATCTGTAGTATAAAGGATAAGGAGTCTAGGAAATCCATTGAAGAATCTTCTGTGTTCACCGATGATACAGATGAATTGTCATCGTTAAAACTTCATCGCATGTCTATGACATCTACCGAGGACGATTCCTGCAAATGCTCATCATCTGCAGCTTCTATGACTTCTATACCAGAGGAAGTGAATGATAGTGAAGGAGACAAAGACTCTGATCTCATCATTGTTAAAACCCCTCCATCTACCTGGAGATATAATCCCCAGTCCCATCATATTCTCTCTGCCCCATACTCGGATGATACCAAGATAGCGTGGGTGACGGATCAGAAATCTCCGATTCCCGATTATCAGAACTCTGAGGATCCTTCACCTGTTTGGCGAGACAGACAGGAGAATAATAAAAACATGCCAGATTTCCGATCACTTAGAAACGCCCTCCATTCTGATGACCTCTTAGTAAAAACTCTTGATGCAGACAATAACGGAAATTACTCAACGCTCAGTTCCAAAGGAAAGCTTTATGATAAAGTTATAGAGGAAGAAGATGAACACAATGTTGCTTTAGATATTGTTTCAGCTGTGTAGGATATTAGAACTATTTATTATTAACCCCTATGTTACGGGTAGATTCAGCATAATTTGGGGTTACTGTGTCATACAAGTTGGATTTCTTGACCGCAATGCTCTGTAAAGGATGAAATTTGTTGGAGAGGTATTTTATCTGTCTGTTTGTGCTGTTAGTGCTCTAAACAATAGCTATCCCTCGAAGCTTAAAATCCAAGGTTTGATCACATCAGAACTTCTTTGTTATTTATAAATCTGTCGTGTACTTTAATCCTCAAAAATGTTATTGAAGACAATAGCAAGTATATTTAGTGCATAAATATGTCATGTTTAATTATTCATATTTGTACAACTGCCCAAAGTGTCATGATAACCAGAACTCTTTGTTATCCCTTGAAACAGAAAGATTTTTGTATATTTCATGAGAGCTTTGATGATTGAACCAAAGTCATGTTGAATGTATTTATTCTTATAAAATTTGATTTAAAACATTAAAATAATTTGAGATTTTTGTATGCTTTGAACATTGGCCCAGTGGCTCTGGAGCTGGAGACAACCAGTTTTTCAATTCAGGTTAAAATATGTAAACCTTTATTTTCAGTAGAAATTAAATTATGTAGCTTCTCAAGCAGACTTGATGAAATAGTGGGATTATATGAGGAGTGAATATTTTACCTTCAGGGTATGTTTCTCTTTCTGATTTGAGAACATGTTTTTTTAATGGAACCAAACTGGAGCACCTGTTCTGTTTTGAGCAAGGTTTTTTCTTTATCATGTCTGTTGATGTAAGATCTTAAGACTTTCAAAAGTGGTGATTTAGCCTACATATCGTTAACATCCTGTTGACACTTATGCTTTTTAATTGTGTTAATGACTAAATATTATGTTACAAAAGCTCACATTTCAATGGCTGAAAATCATTCCTGTGGGATAGCAATCTGGGTTTTGCTTTGTGGAATTAATTACCTTCCCTGTGGAACAGTAGAACAGACTAACACTTAGAATGATAAGGAAATATTAAGTTTATACATATTTATACAACTATAAGTATCAGTTTTGAAGGGTAAAAAATTCTGGCTTGAATAAAGTCATTTGCATTGAAATTTTAAGATAATATCTAATGTGGCTATAATATTTGTAAATGGGGACAGGGCTTTCTCTGTGGGTTATACCTGTTAAGGGACAGGAAATGCTTTATCAAGTCTAAATTAAATGTTTGTGTAAGTAACATCAGGGTGTACACATTTGTTGACTGTGATTGTCAGAGAAGGGATGGAATCCGATTTCTCATTTGGACAGCTGTTGTTGTTTCAGGGTTACCCAATATGCCAAAGCAAATAGAAAAACTGGTTTAGCTTTCTTCTAAAAAAAAAATCATTATGTCCAATGTACATAGGGTTGAACTTTCTGAGTTTTGATGTCAAAACAAGATAGCATTTGTTGTCAATTGGTTGGAAATATTGCTGTCCGATTGGTCATGTTGCCCTGTGAAGTTGGATATTGACATATGTGATGTGAAAGAGACACATGTGTAATGTCTGGCCATATTCCTAACCAGAGAGTATACATGTATACCTGTAGATTTTAATTTGAATTTGATACCAAAGTTCATCTTATTTAAAAAAATCAGTTTGTGTGAAAAAATGATCAAAAAAGAATAGAATAGTTTGGAATACAAGGAATATTGGAAAACAAAGCACAATATGACTGTAATTATATATATAAAAAAAAAAGGCTCATCAAAGACTGTCATTATCTCTGAGACAGTAGAACCCAGGGAGGATTGAAGGGGAAAACATTGATAATAATGATATCAATTAGCATAATGTCATTATAATTAATAGGATTTTAAAGCATTTAGATAAGATCACCCTTGCACTACAACTCTGTGGGAATGATTGTTCAGTAGCCAAAAATCCTGACCTTTCTTTTTTCAACATGGTTAAGATTTCAAAATGAATGAAAAAAGGTTAATGTCTTAACTGTAATCCAATGTGAAAATGTTTCAAGAGGCCAGTGTATGGTGCAAGTGGAAAACGTGCCAACATGCATGAAAAGGCATAAAAAACGAAGGGAAAAAAATGATCAAACTAGGATTCACCTAGACTCTTTACTTTTACAGTTTTATGCAAAGGAACATCTGCCTTGTTTTATTTTCTTTTTGGCTGTCTATAAAATGTTTTGTCTATTCTTGAAGTGTGCCAATTCAAACATCAATTTTTATCTGGAAAAATAATATTACTTTTGTCTGCTTTATAGAGTAGAGTTAATCAAGTAACAATATAAAGCAATAGAGGTTTATACATGCCTCATTAATTGGTTATGCAAACTGTTAAATGCTCAGTCAATGAGTTATTGAATTTCTTCTGTTTTATTATACAGTTGATATCATTAAATAGGTTTTTTATGGCTAAATCAATTGTTCATAGACCTAACAAGGATAAAAAAAAGAAAAGTTGTTCACAGTAGCAAATAATAAACGAGAGTCACCTGCCGTTTTGGTGGTGTGAAAAATGGGAAGGTTTAACCTTATAAGATCATGGAAGGCGCCAGTTTAGGGAATTTTTACACAACAGATCTGGCAAACGAGTACAAAAACTCTTAACATAGAGCATGATAGACAACAAAGAGGATCTCGATCAACAAAAGAGGTCGACACACGGATGGTGGGACCAAAATCAAATGTAAATGTATGCAAAACAAAAAGACGGGGATCCTAAATTCAGCACATTATCACATAAAAACTATTGATTCTCCAAAGAAAACTGATCTGTTATGCTAATATTAATTGAATGTTCTTTGTATGTCAATTTTTTTATAATATATGGAATATATTGATCATTGACGAAGCAAAGTGTATCTATAACATTCTGGATTCAATAGTCAATGCAATTACTATACATGTACTACATAATACTGAATAATTCTTCAGTGTTGTATAGTGTATAATTTATGACAGCATCCTTGAACCTGAGGATAATTTGCTATAATAACAGTGAAGAAGACAAATAGTTGCTCATTTAAAAGGACAAAAACATATTCATCACGTTTGATTGTAGAGGGGACACATAAGGTGAAGTAATAAAAACAAGGTCAGCTGTTTTCTGGTCATAAACCTCCATCCAACTCCTGATCTGAACCATGATTTCTATTTCATTGTAAAATATACCTTCTGTTCATGTTAATGGATGTGATTTATTAAAACCAGTGGGCTTTTGTAATTTTGTAGATATTTGCCCACATTTACTCTTTCATTTAACTGAAAATATTCAAGATCAGCTGAAAATATGTTATAAAATAGGGTATATTGAGTCTTGAATAAATGAAATTTAAATTTAGGAAGACAAATTCAGTTTTCATCGAAATTGGAAACGCAAATAAATACCACTATACATGACGCTGATAGGCCTAATTTCGTACCATCTGACCTTTTACTTAAATTGCCGTTTACCAGACCAGTGAGTTTTGGACAGATACTGACTAATTAGATATACGTTTTACTTACCCCTCCCTACATGTAAATACAACCATGTGTTCTATCGCAACAGGAGGCTAAAGATAATTTGTAAAATGTCCAAACTACCGTTTGTTACAGATAAACTGCTTCTGTGGTTGACAACTAAATTATTTTTAGGTGAAGATAATTTCTGCTTGATTTTTTTTGGTTATGTTAGGTATTTTGGTTCAGATGTACTAATTTTGCTATATGCTTTTCACCAAAATGATGGCAGGATTTCTCAGCATCTCTTTAATCATACGTCACAGCTGGTGTGGAGGTTGTCCAAATTGTTGAGAGGTTGAATCATTACAAGGTTATCTTGTTTGTAAATTAATTTATAATAATGTTTTATGACTGTTTTCAACTACGTCAATGACCTCTTAAAGCTTTTCCTTTTTGTAGTAAAAAATATCTTTTTGAACTAAAAAAGTTGTGATAAGTTATATATACATCATTACACATACGGAAATTTTTCTTAATGATCAAAAAGCAGATGTGTATTTTGTAATTATGTTTAAAAGAATTATTAATTTGCTAGGAAATTATTTAGACATATATGATTCATATTTTCAAATCTTGCTGTTATTTTTTTTCTTGATTTCAGTGTTTTTGATTAAAAGTTGACAACTACTTTTTTTTTTCCATCTCTGATAATTCGAAAGTCAAATAACCTGGTAGTGCATTAGGCACTCATAATTGTAATTCAATGACAGTGAGAACCTGACATTAGATTTTTTATTTCCTTGTTTAATTAGTAATTTTACATGTGTTGACATACTGATATTAATTAACAAGTAAGAATTAAGTAATGTGTCATTTTAAAAAGGAAATTTAAATCATGATTCATGGATATTTCTAAGACTTATTATGAAGCAATTTCTGAAACCTCCACGTTCAGTAAATTACCCCCTACCCTCCCCCAAAAGAAATGTACTGTTTATTGGACAGATATAATTTCTGGTAGGTTGTAAAAGCAGTACAGCTGACAAGATGTGTATCATATATATACCTATGTGATGGTCGTTGTATTTGTGGAACACAAATACAAACTGAAGTTATGCAATCTGGAATAAGTCTATTTGTTTACTTCATTTAAGTCAACATTATGTAGCTTTATCAAAGACCCAAGTGATTTATTGTGAAATTTTACACGTGTTGACAGTTCATCCCCATTCTTTTGTTTTAGAATTTATTTTAGTATAAACAATAAAGGACAACTATGATCATATATGCCTATAAACATTATATTAACGAGACCTTAATACTTTTCAAGACTGAAACTCTATTTCTAAACTATTTATTTTTATTTATTAACTATTTATTTATGTTTCAAATAACATATTAATACATCTGTTTTATCATGCAGTGATCATTTTGAGAAACACTTTAGTAGGCAGAAAGCAATTGAGATTCCAAAATATGATGCAGGGGTCACAAGGTGATATAACTGCATGATCATTGAACACTCCTTTTAATGATTTTGAAAGTATTACCAAATTTATTCTATTGAATGGCTTAATTGCTGAGTGTTTAAATTTGATATTTTAAAAGTTTACTGAGGTGTTGGAATTGATTTATTTAAACCTACAATTATCTGAGGAGGATTCACCATATCTGTCTTCATAAGAGGGGACTTTGAAATGTAATCACCTTGGCTTTGTAATCTACAAATGAGCCATATTTAAAATCTGTGCTGGAAAAATTAAAACCATTGATCTTTTGAACAGTTCCACTGATCAAAGGGAGAGTTATACATCATATGAAATTAAAGGGACAGAATTTGTACAACATTGGAGTTTATCTTCTTGACTGCACACTTCTGTAAAATTCTTCCTGAATTTTTGTTTTACAAGAAATTTCTTTCTTTGTTAAAGTACAAAACAGGTATTTTCCCCCCATTTATATTTGAATTAGGTTAATGTCTTGTGGGTTCCTCCTACTAGTTGTGTTCAGAGTTTTAAAGTACATTAATGCTAGTCTTGTAATGAATCAAACTTTCCTCTAGATATTTT